ATTCCCCAGATATCACAAAACCTGAGTATGTTTGTGTCCCTTGAAAATAAGGATAAGGGTGGCGGGTGGGTATAGCTCAGTGGTAGAGTGCTACTTTACAAGATTCCAGCACAGTGGTTCCCAACCTGTGGGTCGTGACTCCATGACCCTTTTATAGGGGGCACATATCACATATCTTGCATATCAGACATTTATATCATAATTTATAACAGTAGCAAAATTACAGTTAGGAAGTAGCAATGAAAATAATTGTATGGTTGGGGGTCGTCACGGCATGAGGAACTGTGTTAAAGGGTCGCAGCCTTAGGAAGGTTGGGAACCACTGTTCTAGCATCACCACCAATGACAATAAAACAATCAGTACAAAAATCTAGCATCCGAATTATAGAAGCTCAGTGTTGACTACATTGTAACTTAAAAGATATTTATAAAGACAGGGTACACAAGGTTTCATCCTCCAGTGCTGTCCACGTACAGTGGCCATGAAAGAACTGGCAAACCTCAGGACCTGTGGGCTAGCCATATAAAAGGGCAGGTGCTGTTTGTGCCAGCTAAACTGCTGTTCCCGGCACCGCTTCAGTGCTTAATGCTGAGTTGGTGTGCGGAACTGATGTGATGGCTTCAGAATGCCGTGCACGGAGCCAGCTGTATACTCTGACGAACTTCCGTTCCTAGGAAGTGTCTGTCCTCTGGCCTTAACTTGCTGTGAGTATACCTTTATTATCTTATTTTCCTGACTAACCCCTGGCCAAGTTATATACCTTGTGCCTAAAGAGTTAGAGTTTTGGAGCTGTGTGACTGTGCTTCATTTTGAAGTAGTTATTTAGATGTGTGTTCCACAATGGGGTGATGAGTTCATTTTATCCTGAAAATCAGCACACAGTTAAAATTCCCACTGTGAGCTCTAAGGATGGCTTACACTTGACCAGCTGTGAGGAGCTGAAGGCAGACCATGGATCTGTTAGTTTATCTTACTGTGAGATCCATTTTCAGTCTCATTAGTGGGATTTCTGTTCTCACATTTAGCTCATTTCTTAGGTCTTAAGACAAACTCCCAGATCTCTGTGCAGAAACCCCAGTATATGGACATACCTCTTTCTTCACATCTGTGTCCACAGTAGCGTCTCCACACCTTCCTTGGTGGAAAGCATCATCACCCCGACTGTTGGATGCAGCTTCAGGAGAGGACTCTGCTTGCCTTTCAGATGTGTGCGAGAATGTGGTCACGGAGGCCACCCACGTCACTTTGTGTCTGCAGCAGATGAAGGCGGCAGGGATGCTCGTGAGACCTAACACCCAAGGGTAGAGTGCACACAGCACCCCACTGGAGCAGGGGATTTTGTGTTACCTTGCTGACTCCTATTCTTTTGAGTTCTGGCCAGTGTACAGTTTGGTTAGAAACCCCAAGTAAATTGTGTGACGCGGTAAACTAATACAACAGCCGTACTTTTTCCTACTCTGTATTTTTCTTAAGCAGCTATGTGGGGGTGGGGTGGGGGGCTCATCTTCTGAGGGAGATGTGCACGTTAGACTATAATGCACCCCGTATCTCGCAAACGTTAGACTTCACGAAGAGCAAACATACCTGAGTGTGCTTTTCCTTGGTTACATTCTTTGGGGGGAACTCTTTCCTTAGTTTTGGAAATTAGGGAAACACTGAAATTCCTAAGATTTACTGGTATTAGACCTTAAATGTCTGTCCATGTTTTCTTCTGCATTGCCTTGTTTAACTGTGGTATATGTGTCTGTCAGTGTATCTGTCATTTTCTCTAGGCGGGAAGAGTCTACACTTCAGGTTAATTGGGTTTTGTTTTCCTTACAAAGTTGTCTGCCTGCTCCTACTACAAGAACGAGGCATAATCTCAGGGTCCAGATTTTATGTCACAGACTTCAATGTGAATATGGCTTGAATGTCAGGATTTTTTTTTAAAATAAACTAGTTAGTGCTATTAGACAATTACATTATAACATGTGAGAGACTGCATTGACTAACACAAAAGTAGTCTAAAACTGCTGGTGTATGAAGTCCCCATTTCGTAAGATCACATGTAGTTATCCCACAGCCAGCTTTGTTCTCAGCAGTCAAAAACTTTAAAGCTTTTAGTTCATGAGGGGGAGGAGATACTCACACTCACCCCTTAAACAACCAGCCTAGCACCGAGAGGCCCAGCAAGAGCAGATCTTTAAAAAGTAAAAAGTTAGGTGTTGGAAGAACAGGTCAGCAGTTCTCAACCCTTTGGGGGTTGAACAACTCTCTCACAGGGGTCGTCTAAGACCATTGGAAAACACAGATATTTACTTATAAATCTTAACAGTGGCAAAACTACAGTTGTGATGTAGCAGTGAAAATAACTTTATGGTTGGGGTCACCACAACACCAGGAAGTGTATGACAGGGTCGTAGCATTGGGGAGGTCGGGAACCACCGGTCTGTGTGCTACATTGTAACTAGGGTTTGTTTGCAGAGTGACCAGGGAAGGTAAAACCTTTCTGTGTTTATATCCCATCTGCTAGTGACTGTTTCAGTTGAAGGAAGGTGAGGCTTGTATCTGCTTAAGGACAAAATCACCTATTAAAGAAACTTTCTTACCAGTTAAAGAATGATTGTGAGAAATTAATAGCTTGTAAGCTTAGCGTGCAGAAATGTGTGTGTGCGTGTGCATGTGCGTGTGTGTGTGTGTGTGTGTGTGTGCGTGTGTGTGTGTGTGTGTGTGTGTGCGCGTGCGCGTGCGTGTGCGTGTGTGTGTGTGTGTGTGTGTGTGTGTGTGTGTGTGTGTGTGTGTGTGCGCGCGCGCGTGCCATGGAAGCATGGCTCTATTCTCTGGACATCTTGACTTTGCAAATTTTAGAACTGGTCTGCATATTTCTGGTAAAAACATTGTGAAGGGAAAAGGTGAGAGAGGAAAGGAGTTATAAATACCTGTGACTGCACAAGCAGATGAAGGGGCTTGCTCTGTCTCCTTCTGTTCTTCTGAGCCTGTGTGCTCAGAAGGGGGAAAGCGGGTCTGCAGGCTGGTAGGTCAGCTGTGCAGGGACTGGGTGATCAAGGGAGATGGATGTAGTCAATCTGCTCTCTTTTTTTTATTTTTGTTTTTTCTTCTTATCTTGATAAGGGATTACCACTGACTCACTATCTCCCTGTCTTTTAGGAAACAAATATCTTTTCTTACTAAAGTTATTTTTTATATATTCCCCTATTACACATAGGTTAGGTTTTGGGTTAGAACATTTATCAAATTTTCATCATACATAAAAATGGCAAGACTTTTTTGATATGACTGTGAGTTTTTCTATAAAATTAAATGATACCACCATTATGTTTTTCTTGCTAATACATACATGGGCATTGCATAGCTCTATTAACTTGATTTAACCGTTTTTGAAATTCTGGGCAGTTTTCTTATGGTCACACTGTGAAGATGATTCTGTGGAGATGACAGCTGGGTGGTGATGGTTGGGAGAGATTTCAGGTGCCGCTGTAGAAGCGGTGTTACAGCTTAGGATCAGTCCCTGCTTCTCCTGGGTAGGACCCCAACTCTCCCTCTAAAAAGAAGACATTGCATGTCCTGAGCATTCCTTTTCATACCCCTGATCTCACTCACTTGTGCCTTTGGGAGTCTCGAGGTTTGCTATTAATCAGGACTTGGAGAACACTTTTATAATAGTTAATATTGACATTACAGCTCGTCCTCAGGCTTTCTTTTTCACTGTTTTGGTAAAACATTTATGACTTATCTGATATAGTTACTATATTAAGGGTGAATCTGTTTGTACTAAATATATGAAATAATATATTCTTTATGAATTATATCTCAGAGAAAATCTTAGCATGTAACCTTGCATGTCAAAAAGTCAATACTAAAATTATTGAGTAAGTTATATATTTCTTGGAAAAAATAACAGCTTTTCAGTAGGAATTTTAGAAATTTTGGAATGTAAAAAATTTAGATATTGATAAATGAATAGGCAAGTAGTATAACTTTTGTGCTGTTCTTAATTAAACAAAAGCCTGGTTAAGCTTTGTGAGAAACGACTATCATTTAACTTACTATTTGCTCCCATCTAAGAAGCTGTAGAAAAGGCTGTCCATTTGACATTACAGTTTAAGTTTACATTCCTTCAGGGAAAACAGGGACCGCAGGACGCTTTCACTTTGCGGCGCTCCTGTGATTGGGCGGACGACACTACAACTGAATGTACTTGGGCCAGCTGTGTGTGGCTGCAGTGATGGCTGTGGGAGGAGGACTGAAGTGAGAAGGATTGCCGTTGTTTTTTATGAATATATTTGTGACCCAATTATTTCAGTCAGAATGAACTATTGATTTACGTCTATTTTTGAGACAGGGTCTCGCTGTGTAGCCTGGACTGGCCCGAAGCTCTTTGCATATCCTAGAGGCTCCTTACACTTGGTGGCAGTCTTCCTACCTCAGCCTCTTGCTCCTAGGACTACCACACCCAGTGCGATCCCCCTCCCTTCTCAGTGTGTAGCCCAGGCTGGCCTTGAACTCACAATCTTTTCACTTTAGCCTCCTGAGTAGCTAGGATTACAGGATTGTACCACATCACCACGGCTGGCCAGAATGAGGTTGTATGAAGAATAAATTTGTCAGTTTGCTTTTGGAATTAGGAAGTACTTTGGAATTTAGTTACTTGATCCATTTAATTCTGCAGCTAGTGATACTGAGAATCAAAGTGTGGAGTAAGGACGTATCAAAGGTGACACCTTTGTTTAAAATGAAGCCCAGATCTCACTCTAGTTATTTTCACATTATACCTGTGATTCTCTGAAAACCAACCTAGGTAATGTAGAAGAAAGGGGGGCGGTGGGAGAATGGTAGAGGAAAAGGGAATTATACTGCACCCCCTTCCTGTGACCACAGGGTTAGGAGCTGACTTACAGGTTTCCAGAAGCTGTTGTTTAGACATAATGCATCCAGGCTTACTGTGGCCAATGCTCCGAGATCTGATGTTGTGCTAATAAGATTAATATTTGCTTTTTAGGTGAGAGTTACGTGTGTGCCTCCAATGAACCATTTCGTAAAGTTGATTACACCAAAAACGTTAATCCGAACTGGTCTGTGAACATCAAGGGTGGTACCACCCGAGCCTTGGCCGTGGCCTCTGTGAAAAGTGAGGTGAAAGAAAGCAAGGATTTCATCAAACCCAAGTTAGTGACTGTGATTCGAAGTGGAGTGAAGCCTAGGAAGGCTGTGCGGATCCTTCTGAATAAAAAGACTGCCCATTCCTTTGAGCAGGTCCTCACGGATATCACTGAAGCCATTAAACTAGACTCGGGCGTGGTCAAGAGGCTGTGCACCCTGGATGGAAAGCAGGTAAGGTGCCTCTTCCTGTGGCTCGCCACCTTGCCTTCATCTCGTTTATGTTCTGATTATCTTTGCTGGGGGTTGAAAAGACGGTCTGGAACTTGCTGTACAGGACAGGCTAAGCTTGAACTTGTCCTCCCAAGTGCTAGGATTAGAGGTGTCAGCATGTCCGACTCCTTGTGCTGCTGCGGTTATATCTTCAACAACAGAATGTAGTGGTCTCCTGGAAGTAATCCTAGCAGGTTTCCATGAGGGGTGTGTGTGTGTGAATTAGCCTTTGGCAAGAAGGATGTAAGGGCTTCCAATTTCTCCAGATATCTCAGAATCTGTGATATCTTCAGTTCATAGAAAGAAAGATGTAAAGTTCCAGGGAAAAGTATAAATTGAGGTGGTGTCCTATACTAAACGAGACGTTATCCAGGAATAATTATCTACTAGTGTTTGTTGGTTGGTATATCACAGAAGTAAAAATTAAAGATAGTTGATGTATTTAACCTATCACAGAAATAAAAATCAAAGATATTTAGCATGTTTTCCTCCACGATGTGTAACATGGAGAACACATTTCAAAAGGAAGTATTGTCACAGGAATGTCCACATACATTTCTTCAAGAACAATAGAGGCAGTTAGCCAGCATTTCTGAAAAGTGAATAGTTGACTGGAAATATGGAAGTAGAATTACAGGAACAATGTATCAAAGAATCTAATGTGCTTTGAAAACTTGGGCACAGTATAAAAAAGCATGAATAGTGATGTGAAAGTCGAGTTTTGCCAGAAGTTGATTATTCTTAAAGACAAACGTGCTTCCAACGTGTATTTTCCCAAATAGCACAAAACTAAATTATTTATATTAGTATTACATTAAAATTTTAGTTTTCAATGTTACATTTTTAAATTTTGTTTCTTTCCTCAACATACCTTATTTTGAAATTTTGGCTCCTGTAATGATGAGAAGGAGCACTGTCTAGACCTTCAGAGAAGAATCTTCTGGAAAACATGTCAAACCTCCAGTTTTCTAAGACCGGATCTAATGACTAGGGTGCTTGCTACAGTATTTCATAAAAATTTCAGTACAGGTTCTAGGGCTTGGGAGTTAGCTCAGGAGGAAAGTGTGTGCTTGCTGTGTTCAAGACCCAGGGTTCAGTCCTGAGCACCAAAAATAGATGAGAAAGGCCAAGCGTGATGGCCTTGAATCCTTGTACTCAGGACCCTGTCTCAAAAAAAAAAAAAAAAAAAAATAGAGGAACAGCAGCAGCAACAATAACAACAAAACCCAAAACAAAATAACCCAGAAAACTAAAGAAATAACAATAGGTGCCGAGGTTCTAGCAGAATAGGTTAGGACGCTGGAGCTAATGATCAGATAGTTCCACAGTGTGAGTAAAAACAGACACTGTACAAAAGAATTGATATCCAGCACAGGATAACACACGACAACCTAAGATTTATTTTGTATGTATGTGAAAATAAGTCAGGCCACAGAAAAATGTGGTCGGATTTTTATTTGGGCCACCAGCCAGCTCCCAAGTAATAACATGGCAACTTCTTATTATGAAAGCTCGGTCTATAGCTTAGGCTTGTTCCTCACTAGCTCTTGCAACTTAAATTAACCCATTTATATTAATCTACATTCTATCACGTGATGTTACCTCTCTTCCATCTTACACCTCCTATTTCCTGTCTCTGTTTCCTGGTGTCTCCCCCATGCCTAGATTCCCCCCCTCTTTCTTCCCCAGAAATCTCACCTATACCTCCTGCCTAACTGTTGGCTGTTTAGCTTTTTGTTACACCAATCATAGCAATACACCTTTACACAGTGTACAACTATCCCACGACAGGAAAACAAGATAAGGTGAATCAGAAAGACGGTTCTGGTTGGCACAGGGAAGACAGGAAGGAAAGAGACAAATATTTAACATAGCTAACCAAAAGAAAAAGTAACCTAAATATGTCAAATTAGAAAACCATAAAAATAAGGCATAGCTGGTTGTGATGGCACATGCCTGTAATCCCC